GATTAATGATATCTGGCAGGGGTTTCAAGGTCAGGGAAAGACCCTGGTCAAGAACAATCAAAGCAAAATCAATAGCATCTTTTATCGAGAAAAATAAGAGTGAAGAGCAGAGAAGGTTAACTTAATGAAGCCCTAAGCCCTATGAATGGAGATTTTAAATAACATATTAGTGTTCATAGCACAAAAGTTAATCAAAATTAAACTTGCTCAGATTAGTCACTGTGCTCGTTGCCTGTGTTTGAATAATGAAGTTCTTTTTTCTCTGAATTAAAGTTTACAAACTATTTTTAATTGCGTGCCAATTATTTCCAGAATGCAGAACTGCTTAAAGTCATAGGCATTACTCAGCAGGGTTATTGAGAGCCCCACAAATAAGAAAGAACAAATAGTTTCTCAGTCATTGGTTCTATAGATATATAGTTTTCCACAGGCCTGAAGGAGAGAAGGGTGGTGTTCAAATTTTAATTAGTGATGAAACTTTTAAAAGGTGCCCAGTAGCCCACCAAATCAGAGGATGAGGAAGGTCTGCAGCAGAAATACTGCATCGGACCCCCTTCAATGAGCACCACCAACATAATACTAAAGACACCACCAGTCTTTAGACACTTTTCTGAAGGAGAATAAGGAACATGTGGCCCCTTCCTGGCTGAACATCTGGCCAAAGAAAATCTGTTGGCTCCCTGAGGGTCAGCTCTGCCGTCTTGTTCATTTCTGCATCCCTTATGTCTAGCATAGTGCCTGCCATGCTGCAGGCAGATCCTCAATGAACATTTGTTTGAGTGAATACAACTAGAGGAGTGAATGGTTAAATCTTTTTGGCATCATTCTACTCCTTTATGGAATAAATATTACAAGTGAAGAATGATTTCATAATTCTCCTCGAGCCCTGAGTCTCACCAGATTTGATTTCACCCCTCACTTTGTCACTATTTACTATAAAGCCCTGATCAAGTTCTCTTAGCCCCTTTGTGTCTCAGTTTCTTCGGTTATAATATCAGGATAATGACACAAACCTCCCAGGCTTGTTGAGTGGATTAGCCAAAATATTGCATTAAAAAAATCTCAACACGGTATCCCATAATTATTAGCTCTGACCATTGACACTACCGGGGCATTAAATCTACCAAAAGGAGTTTTATCAAGATGGCGTCTTGTAGATACAGTTTAAAAAATCTTTTTTTTCTTTGTTATGAAAAATTTTAAATACTGGGGGTGCCAAAAATATGTATATACATTTTAAGAGATGTTATCTATATATTACTTTAAGTTCATCATAATCAAAAGTGTCTGAGTACCTCTTGTAATTGTAGAAGTCAAACATGACTTGTATTCATCTTTTGTTGTTAGTATATATTGAGTATTACAATTTTAATACAGTTTTCCTTTCACCTTCTGTATGTACAAGAGTAGAGAGTATAATAAGCCTCTTTTGTACCCAATACCAGTTTCAACAATTATCATCTCATGGCCAATCACCCCTTCCCAACCCCTTGTATTATTTCGAGGCAAATCTCAGACACTGTGCCATTTCTTCTGTAATACTCCAATATGATCCCCTCAGCTCCTTCATGCCTCTGCTCGAATATTAATTTGTCAGTGAATTCCTCTATGACCACCTAAAATAGCAGCGCTTCTCCCTCCTAGATGTCTCCAACCACTTTATCTGCTTAATTTTTCTTCATAGGACTTATCATTTGATAGGTTATGTTTTATTGTGTTCTATCTCCTCCACTAGAATAAATAAATAATAAAACTGAAATAGTAGCCAGAATCCCATATCATACCTACAAATAATTAATAATGATTCCTTAATGAGATGAATTACTGATTTGCTGAAAGCTCCAAGAAAAAAGGAAGAAAATCAAGTCTGTCCAAGGCAGGGGGCTTAGGTGAGTTCTCTCCAGACCCAACACAATGGCAGTATCCACTGTCACCATCAAGTTGACACTCCCTGCTGAGGGCAGGGCTGAAGGTCTAGGGGGTGGGCGTGGGACAGGGAAAAGACAAGGGACAAAGCCAGCATTACATGCCTGAAACAAGACAGAGCAGAGATCTCCAAGTCATTGTAATTATTTTACTTCCCAAACCAAATGGCATTTCATTTGAAACAATTCTGTACAAATTCTTCTTTTCCATATTGATGGTAAACGAATTTAATTTTATCTATTCATCTACCCTGGGGCATCATTGACAGTGTTGGCTTTCACGTGGCCCTGTTACACAATGAGAGTTTATTGGATGGTGATAGGACTGGTTTAGTTTCTGACAATTAGCATAGCACAAAAAAACTCACATTTTAGGGAGAACTCAGTTCTTAAATATCCTAAGCGCTTCCTCCTTCCTCCTAATTTCCCCTTATTTGTTCTACAAAGTCAGTAACCCAGTAGAAACCCCAATTTTATTCTCTGTTGCTCTACTAATAAAACCTTGACTTAAAATATTTTCCTTTAACTAGCACTTGGAGTCATTTGGCTGCTTCAAAATGAGATTTATTGGTATTGAAGATATTGAACACCAAGAGTCCAAATCCAAATTATCATCCCCAAATTCAATACCAAAGTCAATGCCACATCTAGAGTTCGGTGGGCAACATCAGCAAGGAAGTGAGTAATGTTGCTGAGAAGGCTTCAAGTTAAGAGGCACCAAAAAGGTGAAGAGAGCCTAAGGTATGCTGCATATTTCTTCTCTCACAGCATAAGTTAACTTTTAAGCAAAGAAAACCTCACTTGGAGGAGATTCAGAAGTCTGACGTAGCACAGGGTGCTGTTATCTTTACAATTCTATCTGTACAGGTCTGCCTGCAGAAAGCATTCATCACAACTGTCCGAATAACTGCGGAATTTGTTATGTAATAGAAGGTAGTGGCCTGGTGGTCTGGTTTCTGAGGAAATTCCTAACAGGATCTGTTCCAAGATATTTTGATCAGTGACGTGGTTTTCCCTGCATGGTCCCATATCCACTCAAGGTACCTGAGTGTCTAGAACTGTTGCCCATATGTGCTGGACCATGAAGTCGGGGATGAAGCATCTATACTTGAGAGCAACTTCTCCTTAGTTCCTTTCTTCATGCAGAGGGTCATCCTTCTCACTCTCTTTGAAGATTCTGCCTCTTCCTTATCAGAAGTACCTATTCCTGTCCTTTCGGTTCTTTTACTTTTCCTCTTCCTTTCCTATGTTCTAGTCTTGGCTAATCATGGTGGAGGGTGGGGGCAAAGTAGCTTTGCAAGCTGGCTTCTGAAGCTTTTTGTCTCCCATTTAAGAAGGAAAAGAAAGAGACAGAGAAGAAGAGATGAATAGAAGTCAAAACCCTGCCATAACTCTTTACTGTCTTTTCTTTCTCCTTTAGAAGTAAGCCTCGGAACGAGGCTGGGGAGACGTCTGTCTTATTTGCTGCTGCATTCTTGCTGCTGAGACGAATGCAGTTTATGGTAGAACAGAAAATATTTGTCAAAAGATGGATGGATGGATGGATGGATGAGTGGACGGATGGATGGATGGATGGACGGACAGACGGACAAATGGATAGATGGATGGATGGATGGATGAATACTATTTATCAGTCATCACTATTCCTTACTAAAGGGGCTATTCTACCAAGAACTTGAAGGAGACCACACAAGGGGAAACAGAAGCTGGGGTGTATTTCCTCTTTTGACCTAAACAGCCTCTTTTTCTAAACATCAACAACAAAAAAGCTTTATGACTTTCGTGTGCTTTAACGTATAATGTCGCCGGGCTCGGTGGCTCAGCCTGTCATCCCGCACCTTTGGGAGGCCGAGGTGAGTGGATT